ATGAATTCAGAGAAGGGGCACCGTGGCAAAGGGGTATCTTCTACTGATCATATATGCACATCAAAAGAAAAAAAAAAAAAAAAAAAAAAAAAAAAAAAAAAAAACCGAAAACCAAAAAACAAAAAACTATCAAATGCTATCATGTATTATTATAACATATGTTATAACATCTTTTATTTTGTATTTCATGTTTTGAAAACTATTTCATATTGCTCGAGTAAAAAAACCACTGGGGGCAGTGTTGTTTATTGTTTGTGTTTGTGTCTACTATGTTTGTGTCTACTATGTTTATTGTTTATTGTTTGTGTTTGTCGTTTATTTGTTGTTTATTCTTTGCTTTGTTGTTTATTTTTTGTGTTATTTTAAGTTATAAATTGCAATTTTCAGTTTTCAATTTTATATTGCAAATTTATTTTATTTGTTAACTTTTTTTTATGGTTTGCTGAAGTAAAATCGGCTAGCAAATGCAACCATAAAAAAAATGCAATAGCGTCGATAATATACGAAATAACAATTAATATTCAAAATATATGTTCTCAAGAAAGTTGATAAGTGAAGATTGCTATAAGATATTTATGGAAATATAATTAATGTTTTTTTGTACAGAAAATGAAAAATAAATTTTCACAATAACTAAAGGCTTGAGAGAGAGAGAGGTATGACATAAGAGAAAGGGACTAAGGGAGTAAGAGGCGTTTGGGGTTGGGGAGGAGAGAAATACCACCGTGTCAGAGAGAAGAGGGAGAAAAAGAGAGAATGATTTGCCGGATGTGTTCCCTCAATTTCCAATATAACTATTTATATATAAATATTTAATTGAGGGTTATTTATGTCTATACACTAATAATTTTATTTTATTTTAGGGTAAATGAACCCCCTAGTTTTGAAAATATATATGAGGAGATCCAATGAATTATTTTGTCTTAGTCAAAAACCCAAATTCCAATCTTAATTAGTGAGACCCCCTGTGTAACTTGAATTACCTCTTTTGCCCTTTTAATTTCAATTTACCCTAATCTTCTCATTCTTCCACTCACACCCACAACAACCGCCGTTTTATCTCTTCCCCTCTCTCTCTCTCTTCATCTCTCGTTCTCTTCGTCTCTCTAACTTTATCGCCAAAAAAAAAAAAAAACAGAAAAGTCTCCAACGACGAACGGAGAACAAGTCGAAGAAGTGCATCGACTCGCTTGCTCATATGCTTGCTTCGCTAGGAACAAATTGGTGTTTTTTTGTGCTGAAGGTTATGGATAAGGCTTCGCTTATCCATTAAACTCTTTCTCGGTAGATCTGGCCCCGACGAAGAAGATGCACAACAGATGGGGTTGATGACGGGCGGCAGAGGCTTGGGGAAGGTATTCTCTGTTAAAATAAAACAAATCATTTTTAATTAATGTAAGTTTTCTTCTGCTTCAAGCCTAGGCTTTAAAAATAAGCCTGTAAAATTGGCATGGCATGCCAATTGTTCAACAGTAGAAATATTTTGGACTCCAATATTGAATGGGGTCAGGTTATTTGGAAATTAAACATATCTTTAGGGTTTTTTGCACCCCTGTGTAATCTCTAATTGCTGAAAAACCCCTCGTGTTAAAACAATTAGCAAATACCCCCCTATGAAAATTAGTCAAAGTCAATAAGGTCCCTGTAAGCTGACCGTGTGTTGCACTCGCCATGAATGCGACTGGGATTTCTTTTCTTGACCAGAAAATACTTAAATACGGCATAATTTATATAAGCACTAAAATGAATTTTTTTTTATTTTCAATTGAGTCCTCCATATTTTCAATTAAGCCCTCTTCAACCTCAAGAACATCCACTTCTTTACTATGATTGTTTTCAGCAAAAACCATCAACCAAACCCAGCTCTGAGCATCAAGTTCATTTCTATTCCAAATCAAGTAGAACAAAAGGGAAGAAAAATCGATCCTCAAGCTTTTTCGGCACAACCCAGAAAAATACAAAAACATTCAGAGCATTTTCTTCCAATTTCTGAAACTTAAATCGTATCTGAGAAATAAGAAGAATGTCAAACTCGAAGAATCCTTTCCAAGCCACTGCACAGTTACTCCGCCAAACTCGAAGCCGACTCTCCGGATCCACCACCACTACTGCCGCGCCGCCTTTGAGTGCCACCGCCGCTTTTGTAACTTCTGAATCCACAATTACCGTCCATCGAAATTGTCGTCCTTACACTTTTTTCTTCCAATCTACAAAAAAGAAAAAAACATCTCCTCCCACCATTGACAGCCAACCATTCTTCACGGGACTCCTTTTTCTAGTGAGTCAGAGACGTCCCAGTGAAGGGGGAGAGAAGATGCCAAGATGGTTTGGGCCCATTTGGGTGATATTATTTATTTATTTAGATTAATTTATTTTTTTTTACATTTTATTTGTTTAAAACTGAAATATTATTAAATACTTATTAGGGGTAGTTTCGTCATTTTCATATAAGTCAACCATCAAATTTGAAGTAAGGGGCAGTGTGCTTCGTAAAACACAATACAGGGGGGACCTTGCTAATATTTTTAACATGAGGACTTTTTCGGCAATTTGAGATTACACAGGGGGTTTTGTGCAATTAACTCCATATCTTTAGTATATATGATATAGTACTTACACAGTGGTAGATCTTGGCCTTTTAAAATTGTTTTATCTGCAAATCTCTTTTTTGGTTGATGGAGAGCTCAAATTAGATCTACTATTTCTTATTCAAAAAAAATCCAGATATACTACGTTTTTTAAGATTTGTGAACAATTAATATTAAAAAAAAAATTCCTCTGGATTAATTTGAATTTTTATTTTGTTTGATTCTTATGTTGTCCATATTTTTTATAAATCCTATGTCTTTTATTTTTCGTATTTATTTGAAGATGATCCGAAATGCCTCAAGTGTGAGAGCTCTGTTTGCCTGTAGTAGAAACTTAATCAGTAGTAGTTACTTAGATCGGGGATTTGGGTCAGATGAATATACAATTATATGTAGTCATATACAGCCATATATGTAGTCATGTATAGTCATAGATACATATAACTATACATGACTATAGAACTTGGGTCACGTGAATATACAGTTATATGTATATACAGTTATACACTACTGATTATATGTATATACAGTTATACTGTTATATACATGTGAAATGGTTTCTACGTTATTGTTTTAGTTTCTTCTCTTTTTTTGGTTTAAGGAGGGCTCAAATCAGATCTACTATTTTTAGTTAAAAAAATATCAGATCTACTATGTTTTTTAAGATCTGTAAACAGTTAATATTAAAATCTTTTTCTTTGAATTAATTTGATTTTTTTATTTGTTTGATTCTGATGTTGTTCATTTTTTGTTATAAATCATATGTGTTTTATTTTTTGTATTTATTTGAAGATGACCCGAAATGCCTCAAGTGTGAGAGTTCTGTTTGCCTGTAGTAGAAACTTAATCACTAGTGGTTACTTAGATGGATGATTTGGGTCAGGTGAATATACAGTTATATGTAGTCATATACAGTCATATATGTAGTCATGTATAGTCATGGATACATATAACTATACATGACTATACAACTTGTAGTATACTATAATCATTTGTAGTGGATTACAGTACAATACATTTTAAAAAAAATAAAAATTCATGTGTTTTTGTAATTTTCATGTAATCTAACTCGCATGTTTTATTTTGCTCTTTAACTTGTATTTTTTTGTTACAGGTTTTTTTTCGTATAACATTATGAGATGCAAATAATAAGACACAGAGAAGTGCCATGTGAAGTTGCATTCATGCTACAGTACTCCAGACTTATGCCACTTATATAACTATAGATAATTGTAGATAACTATAGTCACATGTTGTAACATATAGGTATATGTATGCTATTCGCATTTTAATGTATAGTAATGCGTGTTCATGTTTTGAAGATAAATGCACGTGATTGTGTTTTTTTTTTTTTGGTTAGTTGATTTACAATATCAAGATTAAAATTGTGAAATTTTAGTTGTTGGTATAGATTAATTTTGGGATAAAAAAAACATTACGGGATTACATATAACTATACATGATTGTGGTATACTATAGTTCGGTGTAGTATACTATAGTCATGTATAGTCAATTTCAGCAGTAACTTTATCAAATAAGAAATTAAAAAAAATTAAAAAAATTAAAAAAGTAAAAAAATTAAAAAAAATTAAAAAAATTAAAAAAAATTAAAAAAAATTAAAAAATTAAAAAAATACAAAAGAGGGTATGTATAAAAAATAATAATAAAATATACATTTATATTTTTTATTTAAAAAATCCTATAAAAATAATAAATGCAGTTGGGCCTTGTACTGAATGCAAAGATGAAAATACTAATGCAGCTGGGCGAAAATTGCACTTAAGGGCACAATATTATTTTTGCCTCTCCAGGGGTGTATCTCAAAGGAAGATTTTTAGGGGTGGACCTATCCTTATATATTTTCCATTCTAGGGGTGTATATCCAATGAACCCTTAGTCAAATGACCTACAGTTATATTCATCTAATAGAATGGATCTCCACCTATATAAATCCAAAATAAAGGGTGTGTAGCCAATTTTCCCGAAAAAAAAAATCATATAATATATGAATATTATTCCTTCTTATAAATGGAAAAACATGATCTAGTTCGCACATGGGTTTTATTTCCTTCTATAATAGCTAACAAATTTCGAAAAAACAAGAACATATCCTGAATTCAGTGAAGGGGCACCGCGGCAAAGGCGGCCGGGCATCTTCTACTGATCATATATGCATATCAAAAGGAAAAAAAAAATCGAAAATCAAAACAAAAAACCTATCAAATGCTATCATGTATTAATGTTGGTTGCTGTAAAAGAATTTCATCAACGGTCACCATCATCTTCAAGCGTGTACGGTTGAGATCGATCGATTACCATTCGGATGAAATTTCCAAACTCAGCACAAAAAAACGTTGTTGGATCATCGTAAGTTTAAGTAGTTTTGCATGAAAAAAAAAGGGAAGAAATTAAATCAAGAACCTACATATCTAATTAATGTTCCAAAAATGTCCCTCTTAATTAATCAGAAATTGATCTATTCTTCAACCAGCTGGAAGAGCCATGCATTAATATTTCCTCCGTCTTTAGGTAGAGTACGTATAGTTTCGATCGAGCGGGATTTCGTTTTCATGATCGTCTTCTTTATCTCTCTCTCTCCCCCTATATGTATATCTCTCTTTCTCTCTCTATGTCTAATTACTCTTTCTCTTTCTCTGCCATAAAATCCATCCCACTCCTTAAAGGAGACTGCAGCACGGAACATGCGACTGCTTGCGCCCAATGCCTCAACTTTGTCTTCACTTGTTGAGGATCGTCTCCTACACGTCGAATTTAATAGTTAATAAAAAAGTTGCATATATCAATTAATATTGAAATTTCATGTATCACTACATGAAAACACACTTTCAGTTCGGCGAGAAAATATACGTCGTGTATACTTCAAAGTATTTGCAATGGAAAACTTTATTTTATAGTATTTGTCCTCTAAAACTCGACGCTAGAAGCCTTAGGTTAACATGTCATACTCTCCGATGCTCGGAATTAATAATGAGGTGGCATGTTTGGATTCATATTTCGAATAGGCCATCATTAATCTAAGTTTCATCTCATTTTTCTTATGCAAGTTCAAAGTTCAAAATTAAAGCTGGTAAAACACTATCTTAGGAGATGGCCAAAATTTGAAGAAAAAAAAAATGTTAGGGATATTTTGGTAATTTTCATTATTTAATAAACATAATTATATTTTAATAAAAGTATTATAAGAATAATACTATCTCCCATTCCATACATAAATGGATCAGTTTCCTCTCAATTTCTACAAATTTCATATATAATAAATAATATTTCTCACTAACTGCTTTTGATTAAAAAGAGTGTAAAGAAAAGTATTTGAATGCCATAATTTAATTAATATATTGGAATATATATATCGATAAAATCTAGAAGATTTTTTATATAGATTAATTTAAATCTATAAAGCATAATAAAGAAAAGTATATAGAAAAGACCCAGATTTATTTACTTGTGTTTCAAAGCCTCAAAATATCAACAGACAAATAGTATATGAACGTAAATAAATACACTAGAAACTCGATAAATTAATAATCTCGCTTAAATAATAATTTCTTACGGTCCCGACTTGGTAAAAACGTATTAAATTATTAGCTAGATAATTTAATATTTCGCTAAAGTAGTAGAATTTTGTCGGTCCGGACTGTATAAATTTATATAAGTTCAAACTCTATTAATTTATAGAAGTTTAACTGTACGTACCTCGGCTGAAAATCTTCCAAGAATCGGAATCGCTCATAGGGCTACCAAAAGAGTTGGATCGTCCACCGAGACTCAACGTGGTGGAGGTGCCGATGGACCGCGCAGAGCCGCCGCCGCCGCTGCTGGCGGGGCTAGAGATAGGGCTAATCGACAGCTGTCGATTCACGGCGAAATAAAGATCGAGAGCAGGAATAGTCGGGCAGAGCCGCTGCCCGTTCTCTTCGTTGAATCCGAACCCCAACTCAATGCAGCCCTTGAGCTCGTTCAGATCCTCGTCGGTCAGATCACCGCCCGGGTTGTTCCTCCGCCGCTCCTGCTGGAGGAACTGGCGGCGCCGCCTCTCCCACGCTATGTTGCGGGGGACCTCGCACATCGACAACTGCTTCGACAGTATCTTCTTCTTGTTGCTCTGGAGGCTCCTCCAGAACGGCGGCGCGTGCTCCAGGCATTGCAGCTCCTCGCTCTCGTCGGAGACGCACGACGGCGGCGGAGATGAGGAAGATGACGACGGTGGTGGTGGTGGTGGGTCCTCTTTTGTGTACTCGAATGTATTCTGTGGCGGCTCTCCCATCTGATTAATAGATACTATTCGGAACAATATATGTATATATATATCTGTCTGTAAATTAATGGAAACAAATTAAGTTTTTCATGTTAGTTTAGGATGGAAGCTAGCTGTGATGAGCGGCGGCCTTAGGCGGAGGTGGGTGCAAAACCGCCTCAGACCGCCGTGTAGGTGGTGGTGGATGCTTTTGTTTGAAGGGTGGATTAAATTTTCTTCTTTTTTTTTTTTGTGTTTTTTGTTTTTTGGGTATTTTGTTTTTGAATGGTGGGGAGCAAAAAAAACAGCAGCGGGTGGAAGAGCGGTGGCTTTGAAGAAGTGAAATGAGAATGAATGAGAGGGGAAGCCCTTTCATTACGGGGCTTGTCTCTCCAGACTCCACCCTTCATTTCTAACTGTCACAAGTTTATAATTTTTATTTGGCACGTACGTGCATGCATGCATGCATGCATGGCCTTTTGTTTTTCTTTAAATAAATTATAGGGAAAATTACAGTTTATGTCCCTAAACTTTACCAATAAAACGATTTATGTCCTCAAACATTTCAATCCACAAAATATGTCCTCAAACTTGCCACTTTTGATCACTTTATGTTCTGCCGTTAACGTCGGCAGCTAACTTCGACGGAAATTGCATGCGTGGCTCACGTGACGTCTATGTGGCCGTTAAATGTGACGTGGAATAATATATTGAATATTAAATGTTGACGTGGCACAAAAATATACTAATTTCCTCTTACTCACTCTCCCAAATCCCAAATCCCAAATCACGTTTCATTCCCATTCCCAAATTTTCAATCCAATCTGCATTCTTGCTCGAACCCATACTAAAATCGAAGTCATAAACCCATAAAAAATACAAACATTCTCACATTTGAAGAGTTTTTCCCTTCTCAAAGAACAGCAGATTCACGTGCAAACACATGTCTGCAATCGAGAGGAAGAAGGTAATTCTTCTCCCAACTCCGTCTCTAGAACGTTGGGGTCGTGTGATTCTTCGCCTGCTGATGCTTGTGCCCCTTGTGGTCTCGATGAAGCGAGCACAAGGATGGTGAAGATGGCACAAATTCTACCCAACTTAGCAGTTTCTGAACCAGCCCAGAAGGTGTTCGACAAAATGTTTGAACCAATTCCGGAAAAAAAAAACATGCCGCACCTGTCAAAGCTGCATATAATTCTTTTTTCGCCAAGAATAGAGTGCCCAAGAACGGATTTCAGCTCCCCGACTTCCCCAACGAAGTGGAAGAAGACATGATATTTCAGCCCAAAGATGAAAGTGAAATCGAGGAAACATTCGGCATTTGTTTATTGGGCTATTTTGCAGGTAAAACACCAAGAAAAATGGCCATGGATTCACAGACGATTCTGCTATTTTCGAATTTCACCTTAATCGAAGGATTCGAAATGGGGTTTTAGGGATTGGATTTACGGGTTCATTGGGGATATGGAGAATTAGGGATTTTAGAATAGAAATAGGGGAGGAGAATGACGTGTCGCTCCACATCACGTTTCTTCGACCAAGTAGGCATTGGGTGTTGTACAACTCGACATTTAACGGCCACATAGACGTCACGTGAGCCACGCGTGCAATTTCCGTCGAAGTTAGCTGCCGACGTTAACGGCAGAACATAAAGTGATCAAAAGTGGCAAGTTTGAGGACATATTTCGTGGATTGAAATGTTTGAGGACATAAATCGTTTTAGTGGTAAAGTTTAGGGACATAAACTGTAATTTTCCCTAAATTATACGTGTAATGAGTTGGTGGAAATTATATTTCAATCAAGGTAATTGTTGAATTTTTAAGTATAATGAAATTTAATTGTGTTTGTTTCTAAGTTTTATTGAATAGTTATATTTTTTTTATTGTTAATTCAAACCGATTAATTTGAAGCGAGTAAAATTTTAAATAAGGGGTAATTTGCTAACATCCGTGAACGCTAATAGTCTTTCAAATTAATACAGTCAGACTTTTACAATTTGCTAAAAATCTTTTGTTCTTCACATGTGCTTTCGTCGCGTTCACCCTAACTGTTTTCCATCAAATTTCGTCCAACTTTGCCACACAACGTCAAATCTGTTCCACACACACTCTCCACCGCTGCCATCATCGAAGCTTTGCGTTGTCGCACAACCACAAACAGTCACACACACATAATCACACTCCTACATATGCAGATACTGAACCAGGCACACGCACATACACACATACGACTTTGGTTACACTCATTTCATCTCCGTTGTAACCTAATAATCATGGAAAAATATGAAGAATTGTTTGGTGATGGTAATATTGGTGGTGATGTACACATCAGAGCTTTAAGTTTGTTTTTCAACTTATTTTAACTAAGCTGTGTAACTAATATACAAATTAGCTTTCTAAGTTGTCTAACTTCATAGTAAAATTACATGAATTTTTTTTTTTCTCGAAATTGTTGCTCGTTAATGTAACTGAGCTCTTAAAATGAGTTTTCTATAAGTTGTATGTGTAAGTTGTGTATGTGTTGTGGGATTCATCTATTCTTATTTTAGTTTTTTATTTAGTTTATTTTAACTAAGCTATTGCTTATAAATATCTCTATTACTAAGTTTACTTATTAATTATACAACTAAGTTCACGTGCAAGGCACGTGATTTTGATTCCGGCCAGAAATATCCAAAAATGGACTATTTCTTAATCGGTGCTAAAAATACGTAAGTTCAGGTATGCTCGTGCAACTTTTTTCCGTTCAGGGGGTAAAGCGCAAAAACGTCCAAAGTTTAGGGGATTTTTTGCAGTTAACTCATATATATATATATATATTTATATATATATATATATATATATATATATATATATATATATATATATATATATATATATATATATATATATATATATATATATATATATATATATATATATATATATATTTTGGCCAAAAGAAACGAACTTTGATTGCATGGAGGCAAAGGGGGCCTCGTTGAAAATCTTGTTGGCCTAGAACAAGGAAAAGAGTGCCCCTGTTTACAGAGTTTACGAAAATTACATAAACCTAGTCAAATCCAAATTACATTTAAAGAGTACCCCTAAAGATGGGAAGATAGATTTGAAACGACTTCAATTTGGAGTCATTTGAAATCCACATCAATTACTCTATACTAAAAATGAAGGGTGGGATCTGAATTCCTTATCAAATCCTTCAATCCAAGCAAGTGCAACGGGTTTGTTATTATGAATTTGAAATATTTCTTCCAAATTCTTCCGTCCAAATAGACTCTAAAGAAGAAAGTCTATATGCATACGTACCATCTACAAAAGGGCGTCATCTTATCACTTAGTTTTTGGATCGATTATTTGCCTGAAAACCAAAAGTGAACCAATTTGTTCGATTCAACATAAATAAGAAAATATATCTATCGGTTCTTAATCGGGACCCAATTAAAATGGTTCATTTTTTTCGGTTTTTCGATACACATATATAATAACACAAGTTACTAAAACCAAATGAATAGTTATATAAAGTAAAAATTATCAACAGAAATGTGTTAAGAGTAGCCCATAGTAAAAGTGTATTACATGAAACATTATAAATTACAAAAGATATACAAAACTCAAAAACTATTAAACATCCCTTTTGACAAGAAAATTTGCCTTGCGTTGACAAATATATATTTTGATCAATCATGAGGAAATTCACCAGTTCAAAGGAGTCGAACAAATCGCGCGCTACTCATCGGCATTAGGATTTTCGGTCGTCTCTTGAAGAGGTTCTTCATCCTTAGCTTGATTCTTGATGTTCTTACGCGAACCAACTCGATCCTTACCTTTAGTGCTTACGCTGCGACGAGTTGCTTGTCCATCAACTTCCTTATCCTCCGGACAAGTTTTTACCGCATCACCGCAACTCTTTCTCCTAGTAAGCTTCGGTGATTTAGGACGGGTCACCGGCAGCTGCATTTGATCCAAATTAGTCAAAAATGTAAATTTTTTTTATTTATTTTTTTGTCGTAAATAGGTGCAGCCATCCAATATATATTTATAAAGTAATTCTCAAATGACCTTTTTAAGCTCAACCTTTGGAGGAGGGCCTTCGCGATAAAAGCTCGGAATGGGATTTGCTTTGTACACCATGCTCTTCCTCAGCTGCTTTATAGCTGCTTGTTCTTCTTCCTATACCGGATCACCATAAAGAACTCATCGGAATACGCATAATATGTTTTATACTATATATTCAAATGTTGCCATTTGGAAATTGCAAATTAAAACATGTTTAAAAGAATTAAAAAGGCATGGAAAAAAAAGGAAATGAAGAAGTACCCTGATTTTAGCTTCGTATTCGAGCTTCTCTTTCTCCAAAGCTTTATGTCTCTCCTCCAGCTTACTGTAGAACTAAACGTGGCACGTACGAAAGATGAAAAATAAGAGAATAGTATCTATTGAAAGAAAGGATACATAAATCTATTCTATGAACAAGAAATTTAAAAACAAAACTGATTATTATATTACCTCCTTACGTCTCTCTAAACGGTCTCCGCAAGTAAATTTTGGGCCAACTGGAACCGTAACTTTGGATTTAATTGTCCGAACAGATGTCGCAGTACTATGAATATGTTAAGGACAATAATATCTAGTTTTAGAGAAGAAAAAAAATTAAAGAAGGGAAGAAAAGACCGTTTAATATGAAAAATCGGAAAACTCGGACTAAGGATACGATGAAGCCAGCGAACAATTATCGTCTTCTTCGTAATACTTCTTCGTCTGAAAATTAAGGTTAATCAATTAACAATAGTATAGAACGCTTATTTATTCCGACTTAATTAACTTCCCATCAACGTAAAAACATCAAGAATTGCCGATATAATTAAATTAACACGGATATATGTAATGCAAGCGCACATAATTACCGGTGATTTTTTGGTACTCTGAGGGCTATGAAGATCACTATTGTGATCTTTACACGGGGATCTTTCATCGGCCTCTAAAGAATTTGAATCGACATTATTCACATTAACAGCAGAAGTTGAAGCTGGCGAGCTCGTCGACTTTTTGTCAGTTGACTTTTGAGCCTCGGCCCTAATGATTTTTTCCTCAGGGTTGCTGCTTTTGACTTCTTGCTTCTTATTACGTTCATCGATAACTCTGCCTTTTACAGTATGATCGTCATCATCTGGTTCAGAATCCTTTATTTCGATTTTTTCTTCGTTTGACTTCAAGTTGACGGTATTTGGCTTCTTCTCGTATCGTAAGCCTGCCACATCCCTCCCCATTTGCTTCTATCAAAATAAACAATTGGTTAATAAAAAAAAAAAACAAAAACCCATCCATTTGATCTCTCGACGTCGTCGTTCTTTCACGAAAGGCATTACGGATGATGCAATAACAACATGCGCGAAAAAATTAATGTACATAGATGAATTCGACTATGCATCTCAAAGCGGCGCCATTTTTAATCAACTTAAAATTTATTTCCAAAATTTCGAAAATAAATGGAAAATGCAATTTTTTTCGGTTACATTTCTCAAGAAAAAAATAATAATATTAAGAAAAGGCCTAAATAACAGAGAAGCGCACAACAGAGTCCTCGCCAAGATAGACAATTAGACATTAGCCGAGCTAGTATTTATGTTCGGGGGCCGAATGCATTAAAATAAATCTAATGAGGGGCCGTTAATGATATTGTACACAAAAGAAAATTATACTTCTATATAAATTAATAGAGATTTGAGAAATGTTTGGGGGGGCCATGGCCCCGCTGTTTCTATGCTGGCTACGCCAATTGAAGATAGAAATTATCCACAAAAACAACATGCATGCAGATAGAACGGAATAATGTAATGCAATATAAATGCATGATATATATATATATATATATATATATATATATATATATATATATATATATATATATATATATATATATATATAAGGG